TAGCTTATTTAATTAAAACAGGGTAGACAATAAAAATCCATGCTCCCAAGGGGCCACTTTATTTGGGGGGCAACCTTCATGAAACCTCTCTGGTTCATGAATGGGGGTATTGGGCTGGTTAATCTCCAGAGGTTTCCATGCCCTGTTTACAACTGCATCTTAACTCCCTCTGGTCTTGCCCTGGTCACCTCCTAATTTGAATTAAATAGTCCATTTAGAAAACATTTGTGCTGAAGTAAATCTGCCATGAGTAGGCATTGTCATGCTCCCCCACCAGCTTGTTGTACTCTCTTTGTTGGCATCTGCTTGAATGACATGACTTTACTTGGCTTATGATATCTAATTCATTTCCGCATTTATCTGCTGAAGTGTTTGTTTTTCCTTAGCAAAAGATTACTTTGTATGCAGGGGCTTTACATCCTTAGTTAAGGAGCATTTATTGTACTACTCGAATGTGATCCTATAAATGCTACATACGTCACCATTGATTGCATTCATGTGTTTAAAACACTACCAGGAAATGGCACACACTTTTGTTTCTGAATTGAGAAAAAAATCTAACTTCCTGTCTGAATGTTCTTGTTAAGTAGCAAAACTGAAGTCAGTCTAGAGCACTCATGATCTTTTCTGCAAAGATCCAGTAGCATGAGTCAATACTACACAGCATGCACACCTTAGCTAGTTGTGTTGTGCACAAAGTACTCTCCTATAATGTGAAGATAAGAAGGCTAAGTTTAACTTTCATATAGAAAATGTAAGTTTAATTATGCCTACAAATGTTGTTATTTTGTTAGCATATGTCTTTGTTTTCAAATAGTATTTATAGATTAAAGCTTAGCCAGATTTTACAGTTGAGGTGCATTTTTAACCACTTTTTTGTGGGAAGGAAATGTCCAGTATTCTGGCTGCACTGATCAACTTCAGTTACCAATACTTCAAATTAAACTAATTTGAACAAATTAACCTTTTAAAAGTAAAAACAAAAAAAAACTGCAATCGAATTACTTTTAAAAAAATATATTTTTTTAATTAGACTACATTTGACCAGTTCTGAAGTGTGAATAAAACAATAGAATAAATTTTTATTGTTGTACACTGTAGTCATTATTGTCATTTAAGTCAGATTTAAATGCTTGTTTAATAGCTGTTATATAAAACAGTTTAACCGATAAAATCACCTGCATTGTCTAAATTATATGCCAGTACAGTGTTATTTATATTCACCCTACTTTTAATTCAAAGTTCATGTCAGTTTGAAAGTACATACTTGAGATCACCCAGTGGAGATGCTTAAAATACCCAAACCATGTAAAGATGCTAAGCATCAGTGGCCTTGAATCTTGACCATGTATCTAAATACTAAAAATAAAGCCATTCTAAGGCTTGTTTTAGGCTGACAGATAACTAAACTTTCCATGGCTTTCTACTATTGAGAAATGTTTTTTTTTTTTTTAACTATTTCCTTAACTTTGTGCCCCGTCTATATGTTGTTAGTCATTCCCATTTGAACCACGCTATCTAGGTGCTCTCAATCAGGAAGGGCTTGCCCGTGCTTCCTACATGATGCCTGTAGCCAGTCGACACATCTTTTTGATTTTCTACTTGTAGAGCAGCTGAATGTACTAGGAGGAGCCAGTGATTGCCCAGTGCTGTAAATGTGACCTAATGGACTCTTACAACAGTTAACAACGTTCTGTACTAACAGGCACAGAGGAATTAAGCCATCCTTCCCACATGCTTTCCTAGAGTCCCAGGCTCAAACAGCTGTGGGATCATTGTGAATCAAACTGAGGTTTCAGCGATAGAATACAACCTTCAGTCAAATGTCCATTCAAGCTCCACATTGATTGCATTTTTTATTGATCGAAATATGTTTCAGTTGACAAAAAGCATAAATATAAATCCATAACATTGCATGACATAGCCAGATTAGCCAACTGTGTCAAGAGTTTATTGAAAATTCTGTAAATAAAAGAAATGCATGTGTCACAATTTGTGTGTTTTCAAATCAACATTTTATACTGGTGCAGTGAAACAAATGTAATTATGCTCACACTTGCTTACATTTAAACGGAGCCTTTCCTACATACCTCAGAAGTGTGCATTTCTAGCACAGAACATTTCCTTTATTCCAAAATATTTCACCATATTGTTAAGTTGATCAAATAAAACTGTTGAAAATTTGTATTTTATATTTTTTTTTATTTCTCTGAGGATGTTAAACATCTTTATATCAATAAAGATCTTACACATCTTTATATTAAGTGGAAGTGATGTAAATATAGTGGACTTACCATCTTATGCAGTTTATAAAGGCTAAAAGAAGGGAGGGGAAAAATATTTCATCAGAAGACCTGTGACTTCTTCAGATGCCCACAGCAAATGCAATTGCTCCATAATAGGAATCCAGGTAGATTTAGTCCCAGTTTCAACATTTTATAAATTTATGTAAGTTTGTTTCAACGTCAGCAGAAACATAAATGAAAAATATCAGATATTGCCATAGACCCAACTTATCAACTTACCAACGTATTTCATTCCATTTCAGTGTACCCACATCCTCGATATCGTCTTCACTACTGGATGGTAGCTTCACATCAAAGCACTAATCAAAACAAAATTTCTTGGTACTATTCTGATTTGCTTATTATGTTCAAGATTTACTTGCAACCTAAAAATGTCGCTCATTTTTGTCATTCCAGCTAGAATATTTAAAAATCTTCAATAATCAATTCTGATTTCCATGCAAGAGTAGAACAGAGATGAGAAATCGTATGTAAATATACATCTTTTTTGTGACTGTTGTTTTTGTAATATTGTTATTAAATCACAAGTAAGTAGGAAATATTTGTAATTGTGATTCATTTTTCTGCTGAGGTGCATTAGTTACCCCTAATTGAGTTCTAAGGGCAAAATCAAACTGTGGAACACAAAAGGAAATGTGCCTCCAGCTTGGTAAAGGCACTTGGTAGTACTGGTGTTTTTGAACACATTTGGGGACAAGGTTTTGATGTAAAAATCCAACAATTGCTTATTTCTTTTTCCATCCTTTTTCCAAATTGGTATGTATATATAAGAAGGAAAATTAAAGGCAAGCATGTGGTTTGTAATCTGAATATTTCAGTCTCTTGGATATTTTTTCAGCGACTAAAATATAGTTGTTCCAGCTTTATAGAAATGCTGCTTTGAAATCATTTTATAGTATAACCCCTCCTCCCCCTACAGCTGGCCAATGTGGCAAAAATACATGGTATTATTACAAATCACGTGACACATCACAATATTTACATTTTTAGAGGTTTGCCAACAGACTGAAATACACAAAATAGCAAAACAGCAGTGCTGTGTTTTGAAAACGTTTTTGAGAAACCAGAAACATTTTAACATGTGCTAAAACAAGATCAGGAAGAAGAAAAATCAAACAGTTGGTCAAAATAAATTAATTTCCAGACATCCATTCAGCTACTTGCTAATGAGCATTATTATTATAATATTATAATTATTATTATAATATTATAATAATAATTATTATTAATATAATTATTCATTCATTTTCACATATATATAATTGGTCAAACTCTGTCCTTTTTAAATGATATGCGTTCTAGAAGTATTGATGATACCCATGTACTCTGAAAAGTGTATTGTGGTGTATTTTATCATAATTACGGTAACAATGTGTATGTCTTGTGTATCATACCTATATATCTTGCCCACCCCTGAGGAGGGCTTGTAATCTGATGGTTGTATATCATGGTAGGAATTGTCATGTCTCTACCATCGCTGGCCCCTTTTCGGAGCCCCCTCTGGTATTGCTGAGTTGACAGAAAAGTGCATGAATAGTAGAGGGTGGAAATTGAGCCTGAGACCCTCTCTTTCTCTTTGTCTCTCCTTCTCCCTCCTTCTGTCTCTCCCTCTGTTTCAGTCTCTTTCTCCCTCTTCTCTCTTCGTCCTTAGCCTGTCGAGGCATGCCTCTCAGCCGATGGGCGGAGGGTGGAGGCTGGGGGGGTGGGGTACCGAGGGGCCGGCTAGGGGTGAACAAAGGAGCACTGTCACTGCTTTTCAGGCCTTCTGAGCTGCGTGGGGTGGATGGGGGGACTGGGCTGCTGAGAGCAGCGGACGGGAAGGGGGTGGCAAGAATGGCAATTAAATATGGAAGAGGCACCATAGTGAGCAATACAGAACAGCATAAGCAGCGAGTGTTCACACATCCAGTGAGCCTTACTTCTGTCTCCCTCAGCAGCGCTTCTGGAAGCTCTCTGTTTGCTGTTCACTGTGCAATATTTGTTTAACCCTCTTCCTTTATCTATGCAGCTGTTCCCTAAAAAAAAAGTGAGTGAGAGAGCAACCGGGTAATGAAAAGGAGCCCAGCTGCTAGCAATTTCATGAGTCCCTATTGCTGCTAAAGAGCCTGAGTTGAAGTTACCTCTTCAGTCAGTGTGACATACCTTACTGCCTAGCAATATTATAAAATAAAAATGATGTTATTGTGATTAAATCATGGTTTGTGAATGTTGTCAGTACTTATAGAACATTGAACAACTGCATGTATCATAAAACAGACAGATTTCACCCATTTGTAGAAGACTGTAAAAATTGATTTGTGTATAGCAGCTGCATTTTAATTGTTTGACTTTTACTTTTGGTTGTTGTTAAATAGTTATTTTTTCCAATGTAGAATTTTAAAAATCATAGCTTGGAAATGCCTTGAAATAGACACATTTGGTTTGGCTGTAATTCTACTTTTGGGGAAAAGAGTACAGCCTGTCCTGGTGTGGTACTTTCCTCCTGATAGTTGGGGAGAAATAAGTAACCCATATTATTTTTCCCCTATGGGCTTCTTGATTGTGCCTCCACAGCCTCTTTGCATTTTGTTATTTATGTTGTCTTCAGTGGATTGTGGGTTTCTCTTTGCCTCAGACACCTCTGTCAGCCAAACAGATTTCCTTATCATTTCTCTTTCCCCTCCTCTCCCCCCTTTCTGTATTACAAATGTTCAGGAGCCAGAAAGAGCAGAAGAGGGAAATAAGGGAAAAGATGCTGTTCCTGAAGTCATTCTGAGACCTGTTCTTTTGACACGATGTGGTGCAGCTGGGTAGAAGAGCCTGTGATAAAGGTAAGTGGCATTTGCCTACTGACATTTAGTTGTTGTGCGTGTGCTATGTAAGTGATGTGTTTTTTGTATTTGCATGACCCTCCTCCACCTGTGTATGAGTATGTATGCATGCTGTCTTTGAGTTTGTTACAGTGTGTAGAAATAAAGAGATTAAGAGAGTATGCTTATGAGAGTGGGATTTTACTATTGGATTCAAGAGCAGACTACTTGCCCCACCTTCCGAAGTATCTGCTCCTACTATAACTATTATCCCACCATATTTCTCTCTAGATTTCCAAGCCTTACTGATTTTTATGTACTGCAGTTGCCTGGTCACCATGCAGCAAAAGTGGTGAGAGTACTGTACATCGTTTAACATAAAGGAATAAAAAGTAAGCATTAATTTTATTTATTATTAAGTAATGTACATTTTATTTTACATTAAAAAAGATGATGTGGAGAAACAGTATTTGTCATGTGATGCAAGTGTAGCTATGAACTGAGCTGAAAAATCATCTTATAAGCAACTATGGTTGTAACTATATTGCATTAACATTTTTAAACCAAACAAAAAAATTTGCTCCATTCATGCATTTAGTGCTTAAACTGTATCAGTAAGCTTTTGTTTTCGGTTAGAAGAAGTGTTGTATTATGCTGCCACTTAGTATTCCCAAGATGAACTCTCAACCACTTAGACTAAGAGCATTCTTTATCTGCACTAAAAGCGCAAGTAAATCATCTCTGCTCTGTCAAGTGGCCAGACAGACTGGGGCTGCCGGATTATAGGTAACATGGACATAAAAAGGCCGGAAGGCTATAATTTCTCCTTCCCCCACCATTCTGTTGTAAAAGTCAGAGCAGAACACATGGGGAGGCCAGTTAAAGATACTTATGCTGAAGATTCACCATCTTTTTCCTCATGGCTGTCTGTCCCACTGCCTCCAGAACAAGGATCACACCACTTTATTTTTTCTTCTTCATCATCCTCTACCTCTTTAGTTTTTCCCCTCCAGAGCTTTTCTGAGTGTTCAAAAGCTACTTTGATTCCCACGAGTGATGACCCCTCCAGCTGTTGTCTTCCTGTGTGTCATTCACACACTTGTTCGACTCTCTCTCTCTCACACATGGCTTGTCCTCTCCTGCTGGGTTAACAACATACCTACTGCCTTTGACTTCTGTCGCATGCCAGGTGAATCCAGCCTCAAACCAACAAAGAGCTTTTCTTTTAATAGCTGGCCTGGAAGGAGGGGGGCTGATCTGGCTGAAAGCACTAATTGAGGATGTTAAAGCTCCACTGTTATACAGTAGGCAAACCTCTGTAAGCTTTTCTTTCATTCCTCTCCTTTTAAAGGACTCACTTAAAACCTATCCCTTGTTTTGGTGAAGTAATCATTATGATGGCTCCTTGGTGATGTGGAGAAGCCCTAAGCTCCACTCGCTCCTTTCTACAAACTCAACAGATTTGCCACTGACGTCCTAACAGCTTCGGAACGGGTTTCCTCAACATCTTCAGGGAAAAATGCAGCATAGTGAAGGCTGCGTGAGCCCATTCTATTAATTAATTTGCTGGAGTTTAATAGGTTTTGGGACATTTTAAGAAGAAAGCCTTTTGGGTTAAATGTGTTTCAGGCTGATGATAGATGTACATTCTCAAACCAAAATATTGACTAATTATATAGCTAGAATTACTGGAAGAGAAACTAGGAGAGCTACCTGAGAGAGAAAGAAATTTTCCTGATTAAAGACCTTAAATTTCTGATTTTATTTATTGACCTACCTATGTACTTGCTTAATACTTGCTACCTGTATACTTGATTAATAACTGAAAAATGACAAATTGATAAGTATACATTTATTATATATATATATTTATATGAAGCATATTGGGAAGAGCCCCCATCTTTACTACAATGAAGAATTTGTGGTTTGTAATCAGTTGTAATCATAGTGATAGTAAAGGCTGGACTTCTTTGCATCTTGACTGCCTCAGAAAGTACCATAACAACTACAGGCACAGCACCAGAGGAAGATTACTGATTTGTCTCTTGCCCCACTGCTAAGATCATCATAGCCAGTCAGTTCATTGATATCTGGGGGAAGAACAAGAGAAAAACAAGACACAACGTATTAATAATGCATGTTATAAAAATGTATTTAGTTTGAAATATAGATTTTAGAGAATCTCAGGTGACATTATACTGGCCATGTTCATGAACTGCTTTGAATTCAGTGATAAGTGGTCGTTTGTTCGGAACACAGTGCTGTTTTATACTTTTCCCCTTTGCTTTCTCTTAATGTGCTGAACCTTCAGAAGGACTGAGAGCTCTTCAGAGCCCGCAGGGACAAAAGAGTCTTTTCTCATTGCTGTGTGTTGATAAAAAGAACTGGAAAGCCTCCTGGAAGCATTTCCTCTCTGCAAGAATGGTAGGGACCGGAAAATGAGTGCAAGAGTCTCTCTCTCTAACTCTGTCTGACACACATACTTACATACTCTCACTAATAGTTCACCGTAGAGCCAGGTTTGAACCGGATTTTTCACAGCTCCAAATGAACAAATGAAATAAGCCTCTGACAGGGTCAAGGTAGATAGTCAAAACAAGCAAGGAATCCAGGAACAACAATATCAGCAACACAATACTAGATCAGTCAGTCCTGCACAGTAATTTCTTTGAAGGAATAAATGGCCTAGGACGTTTCCCTCATAACACTGTCAACCATGAAAAAGCAGAGGATTCATTTACCATACTGTTTGCTTGGCATATTCACAACCATTGACTCTTCCGTGAGAACGCATTTCGGTTCCGTCAACCCTTGTTTGTCTGCGAGCCAAGAGCTGCTTGCGCAGGTTCAGGGTCATTACCCTCCCTGTGTATGACAAGTGGCGCTTGATAGCATCTGTGTTTAGCTACAATAGGAAAAGATTAATACCTCAAGTGGAGAGTTTGCATATTGTGTGGGAGTTGCGCTCTGTTCTGTTTTCTTTTGCGGTCGTACCATTTACTGTTGTTGGTCTTAATGTCGAGGGAGCTTGATTTAATGGGGACTTTGAACATTTAAAATGAAAACAATTTGTTTAGTTAAGCTTAGAATCAAAGCTTTTGATGCAGTGGATGAGTCGTTAAAGTAAGGAAGAAAACTGTGTTCTGCTGCCGTCCCACACTTTGTCTCCTGTTTCGTGACTGTCCGTGATATTGTCATTGTAAATTACAGACTTCCCTCAGTGCTTGCTGGTTCAGGCGACAGTCTTTTATTACAGTGTCTGTGACTTTATTACGCCCTTTCATCTTGCTGCCTACCTCTGTACGTTGCTGTGTAGTGGTATACCTTTCTGCCTGTAAGCTCAGTTTAGTTTTTTTGGGCTCAGTTTAGTTGGCTTGGGCAAAGCGTTTAACTCCATTTATAGATTAACTACCTCTGCTGTGAACGTCTGCCACATGACATTTAGATCTTGCTGTACATCCTGTTCTTTGAGAGTTTACCTGCTCTGAGTCTGACTCTCTGATTTCTCTATGAGTCTTCATTATGTATCTATTTTGGTTTTTGGCAAAAACATGGCTGTAATTTAATCTCAGGAAATGTAATTGTAATACTAACAGTCTATTTTTGATAGAGGGAGGAATCCCTGACGAGTGTAATGGCCGGGTTCATCTGTGGTGTGTTTTGTTCTAAGTATAAAGCCTAAAAAGAGCAGTGTGGAGCAGGGAAGGGAGCTGCTGTTATTTCTGAGCTGTTTCAAGTCGATGGCACACCCAGAGGATGGAGACAATTAAAACATCTAAGGCCTTGTTTAGATGTCTGATCTGGGTGGTCTAGAGCCGGGAAGACAAGTCTCAACTGGCTAATGCCACGCCAAATGCTACCCAAAGCACATCAGACTGTTAGGATGCATGTAGGGACTGCAGTTATCACTAAGCTTTTGGCAGGTAATGTTGGGTGTCGAACCTTTGTCTTACTTCACAAGCGTATTTGAAATCAGACTCTGCGTCTGCTTAAAGTTCCGTATGTATGTTTTCTGTAAGTTGATCTATATTTTGGGATAAGATCTATATTTTGTCAACTATTTAGCTAATTTTATTCAGTGTTTAAAATTTACATTTTAGTCAGTCCTGTACAGTAAAATTATTATGGGGATAAACTGACAGAGTGATTACATGTGGGTGGTCCCATTTAGCTCTCTGGCATGCACATATATTTGAGTGTGAAAAAGCAAATCAGGAAGCATGCGTGAAGTCTCCAAATTAAAAGTGCCCACCAAGGTTTCACAGGCTTAGTGTGGTGCAGTTAGTGTAGAAAATACAGCAAAAGAATGCATGCAGCAGGATACTTCCATACATGTTTTTTATTATTAATTTATTATTTATTTACTTTTATTTCATTTTTTTCGTAAACAATGAGTTTTTACCATTTACTGTATTTTATTTTATTTATTTGTTTAGTTAGTTATTTCAAGATAGTAGTACCTTGCATTTTGAAGTAAGGCATAATGTAATGGTTTGATATTGTTATGTTCCCGTTTGAAATTGAGCTGGATTCAGCTCTCTGGTTATGTCTGTTTGATCAGTCAGTAACTGAATCTGCAATTTGGAGCATGAAATCATGTAAAAAACCATTGTGCAGCCATACTGCTGCTGTCCAATAATTGGCTAAGCTTGGTAAAAATTCCTAAGCTTACCTTAGTGAAATTGCTCCTAGTATTTGCACTAATTGCAAATCATTACATTTCCATTTAGACCTCAGTTTGGTGAAGGGATGCAAAATGTAAAAGCAGTACTCTTGATGATGTAGTGAGCACATGCCTTGCATTTCTGGAGGGAGTGTATCTTGTAGCTCACATTCACAAAATGTTGTATGAAACTAAAATTTTGAGATAATGTATCAGTGTGGTGCTGTGTTATTAGCCCATGTAATGGAAGAGCAAACGCTGTTCCCTCTTTCTTCCATCATTCATTTAGCAGTCACTAATAGTCTTTCGAGTTCACTGATGGAAATGCACTGCATTTGTTCCAAATAGGCCTAAGCCC